GTAATTCAAATTCATTGGACCATAGTATTGCAGATGAGAAAAATGAGTTGAATATTGATCGTAGTATTAACCCTTTGTCGACCGACGGTACTTATAAGTCCACCGAAATAAAACGTGTATGAAATATCATAAAACGTTATTTTTGTGTTTCTAATGGGTCGGTACTCACGAGTACCATCTACCGATTAAATAAATATTATTTTAAAAGCGGTCGTACTATTATTAAACATTTTATCGGCGATTAATTTCGGGGACTGCAGCATTCAACACATATACATGACTTGGTATTTTTCCTTTCTATTTATATGTACATATTTTATCATTTTATCATAAGAAATATTTTGTTTATGTTTAGATATATGTCTAGATGGATTATCTGTTTCTGTTGTTGCGATTTCATTATCGATATAATGATATATTTATAAATAAGAATATGGACTTGTAAGTACCATTGGTCTTTCACGGTAAACATTTAGTCAGTTGTCGACTAGTAATCGTCGCCGTCGTTCGTAAATGTTTGATTACTGCCGACGTGTCTGTGAAATCGTTTTTTTTACGTACTATACACATTTTTGTATTAAAAGTCCAAATTATTTAACCATAGGTAGGTAATAATATTATTTTTAAAATGACAAATAATAACGATGATTTGTTACTTCAATGGTTAAATGAAGAGATTCCGTTAGATAATAATGAGATTACCGACGAAGAATTATCGGACGACGAAGACAATATTACGAAAGGTAAAGATTTTTTTTCTGTGGTCGATAATAATCCATTTGAAGAAAATATAGTGACAAATGAATTAGAAATTGAAAATGAAGATAGTTTTGAATTTATTCTGGATAAAACTGATATTAATTTTTCAAATATAATTGAGCCAGTAGAACCTGTAGTGATAGCTGTGCCGACTTCTACTCAAACTGTCAATCTCCACGAAATTTCTGGCCCTTCTAATAATATCAAATCTCCCCCTTCCAAAAAGCTTATAGACACTTCAAAAAAAAAAAAGAAGATATCTCACAAATTCGCCGTAAATGGAAAAAGATAACTGTCAAAACATTAGAACCCGATTATTCACTTCCCGATGGACCCGTTGATGGCAAATTCAAGGGGGAAACTGCTACGTCAATATTTTTGGAATTTATCGATGGTTTTATTGATCAACTTGTGTATCAAACAAATTTATATAGTATTCAAAGAGGACGTCCTTTGAATGTAAAACGTTTTGAAATTCTGAACTTCATAGGTATAAATTTTTTAATGGGGTACAACAAACTGCCAAGTTGGAAACATTATTGGGCAACATCTGATGATTTAAATGTTCCCTGTGTGTCAAATACAATGAGCCGTAATCGATTTGATAATATTTTATCAAATCTTCATGTTCAAGACAACTCATTGATCCCAACAAATAATAAAGATAAACTGTTAAAACTTAGGCCTTTGATAAATTACTGTAATGAAATATTTTCTACATCTTACCATGGAACGAGAGAACTAAGTATTGATGAATCGATGATTATTTTTAAAGGTCGTAACTGTATGAAACAATATAATCCTCAAAAACCTATCAAACGCGGATATAAAATATGGTGTTTATCTGACCAAAGGGGATATATAAAAAACTTTAGTATATATCAAGGCAAAGATGAGCAATTATCTGATGAATTTGAGTCATTTGGTTTGGGTGAGCGTGTTGTATTGAATTTGACGAAAAACGAGTGGAATAAAAATAAAAAATTTTTTTTCGACAATTATTTTACTTCCTTGCCATTGCTAGAAAAATTAAAAGCGGAAAATTCACTAGCATGTGGGACAATCCGATCAAACCGTAAAGATGTCCCGGAATTATCTGAAGATAAAAAAGCGCCTAGAGGTTCATCAGATTATCGCATTACAAACACTGGTATTGGTGTTTACAAATGGAAAGATACCAAGTATGTTATGTTAGCATCAAATTATCATGGTTCAGAAATAACAACTGTAACAAGAAAGGATAATTGTGGTCGAAAAAAAGATATTCTATGTCCACAAGTTGTACGTGATTATAATTGTTATATGGGTGGTGTAGATCATGCTGATCAACTTAGAACAACTTACGGTGTTAACAGAAAATCAAAAAAGTGGTGGCACCGAATATTTTGGGGTTTATTAGACATTATGTTTGTAAATTCGTATGTGGTATACAAGCAAATACATGGAAGTATTACTTTATTGGATTTTCGTCGTTCAGTCACACGAGGACTTTTGACTTTACGAGAACTTCCTAAATCAAATAAAAGACAATCAACTTCAACACCAAAAAATAAAGGTCCGGCAATAAAGAAGAGGAGAGGAAAAGAATGGTCAGTGTCAAAAGATGTGCGTTTAACCAATCGAGGAATTCATTGGTCAAAATTTGTTGCTAATCGAGGACGTTGTGAAGTTTGTGCTATGAACGGAACTCAATCAAGGCCATATTCAAAATGCTCCCATTGCAATGTATTTTTATGCGGTAACGATAAAAAAAATTGTTTTGCGGACTATCATGATATAGATTGTTCATAACTAGTATAACTCATATGCATATAAAATTATTATAATGTGTTCATAAGCATAATGTGTAATAACTATTTTTTTTTTTAATTATAATATTTTTATTTGACTGATATGGAGTTATGATTTTCTTTTTATTTAACCAACATATAAATCGACACCTATTAATTTCCACGATAAAAAAAGTTTTTGGTAACAAAATAATTCATATATAGCATTGACCTAATAATATAACATTTTTTAGACTAAAATACTTAATTTACACTTAGGAGCTATCGAGGTTTTTAATTTATATGTAAGTATTCTAAAAAAAACGTTTATGCTTATTTTTACTAAGAGTAATATTTTTAGAAATAAGAGAAGGACATTTTTTTTTTCTAAAGTCGTAAATACATAGGTATACTTTTGATTTTCGAATGGCAACATATAGTTAAAATGGCATAACTTAAAAAAGCTATTATTATTTTTTTTTATGATTTTTCGAGTTAAAAATTTTATTTTTCGTTAATACCCTGTTGCTAGCTTCTCAAAGTGTTAAACTTACTGAATGTAATATTTTGTAATAATTTTTGTTAGTATTTAGTTAATTAGTGTTTGTTATTTAAAAAGTAATAGCTGGAGAGTTGTTTAAAATAAGAATTCAATTACCTACTATATATTTGTTTTAATAAAATTGTATTGATTATTTATTACAGAGATACCCATCATAGAAACAACTAAATTTGACAATGATCCTGCTTATATCCCTAGTTCTATATCTGCTGAACTATTGAGTTACTTCGCCAACCTTGGCCCTTGCCAGCCAACACCAAATGATTTACCCCAACATTCATTTAAAAAAAAAAAAGACTGGAATTATATGAATAGATCTTTCCACGAGTCTTATTATTACAAAAAATTGGCAAACAATAATAAATCTAGAAGACTTTGGCTATCTTATTCACCAAGTAAGGATCTTATTTTTTGTATTTCCTGTAAACTTTTTGGTTTACCAAAAGCCCAAAAATCAAATTTAGCTTTGAATGGTTCAAATGATTGGTCTAATATACAAAGAATTATTAATAATCACGAACACTCACATAATCATATACAGTCAGAAATCAGTCGGGGTCTATATTTACAAAGTAATCGAATTGATTTAAATGACCAATTAATTATATGTGCTAATCGTGAAGTGGCTAATAATAGAGAAGTGGTTCGAACTGTTATTGAGGTATTGATTTTTGCTGCTCGACAAAATATATCGCTACGAGGACACAATGAAAATGTTCAATCATTAAACCGCGGAAATTTTTTAGAACTATTAAAAGTCATAGGACGTCACAGTGCCCCTGTTTTGATGCATCTTGAAAAAATAAACAAAAGTAATAATAACAGATTAACATTTATGTCTTCTAAAAGTCAAGAAAAACTGTTGAGTATATTAGGTGAAATGGTTCGAGCACAAATATTGAAAGATGTGAAAAATGCTTGCCATTTTGCTGTTATAATTGATACCACTACGGATATATCAAACCAAGAACAGTTTACATTTATAGTGAGATATGTTAACAGTACTGGTGTAATAGAAGAGCGATTGTTGGCTTTAGAAACTGCAAGTGATGCTACAGGACAAGGATTATTCAATACCTTTTGTACAATAACAAGTAAATATGACATCAACTGGGAAAAACATCTGTGTGCACAATCATTCGATGGTGCAGCATCTATGCAAGGAATTTATTCAGGTCTACGAAGTTTTATTCAACATAAAAATCCTAGAGCAATTTACGTTTGGTGTTTTGCCCACATATTAAACTTAGTAGTGGTAGATACATGTGATTCATGTACTATTGTACTGATACTAAAAATTTTTTTGGAGATGTTCAATCATTAGTATTTTTTCTAAAAGCTCGCAAAAGAGCAGCTGTTTTTATTGAATGCCAAAAAAAAATGTATAAAGATGAGAGAGTTTTGCGATTGAAAAGTTTTTCAGATACTCGATGGACCTCACATGGTAAAGTTTTAAATGTCATATTTTGTAAATATAAAGCATTGATTGATGCTTTAGAAGTCTTACAAAATTCTAGTGATAGAATTACAGCATCTAGTTCAAGGACATTTTTAAAGACAATTTCAACTTTTAAGTTTGTATTATGTTTAATATTTTTTAAAAATATTTTCATTGTGACTACACCACTTTCTAACTACCTACAGTGTAAAACTATTGATTTCTTTGAAGCAATACAATTAGTTAATGTGGCAAAAAAAAAGTTAAGTGAAATGCGATCAGAATGCAAGTATGAAGTATTTATTAACGAAGTTAAGGAATTTGTGAATTTTAATAACGTACCAGAAAAAGACTTTAAAGAAATGAGAAAAAGGACGAGAAAGTTACTTGCAGGAGAAACTCCAGATGATAATTCAAATGTTTCTTCTATGGTTCAATTTAAAATTAAGACATATTATGCTGCTCTTGATAAAATAACAATGTCATTACATGAAAGATTTAGTCAATCACAAGAAATACTAAAAGATTTGGCAATATTAAATCCTGATCGTTTAATGGCGAAAGATTCACAAAATCTGCCCAGTGATTGTTTTCAACACATTTCACTGTGGCTTGAAAACATCAATACTGACCAACTCAGGACAGAATATATTCAATTTAAAAATAATATTTATGAACTTATAAATGGATTAGAATTACCTACTGAGATTCATGACGACACTAGCAAAGTACAAAATACTGAGATTGATGAGAATGATGATTGTTCAAGTAATGACGGAAATTTGAATATCATGGATGAAAATATTGATTTGAATAAAAATGTAACTATTAAAACTATAATTCAATTATTGACTAAGTATGGACTTGACTCAGCCTTTCCTAATTTGCACGTTGCGTATAGAGCTCTGGCAACAATTCCAGCATCATCTGCATCAGCTGAAAGATCTTTTTCAAAGGTAGTAATTAAGTATATTGTCTTTATAAATTAGTAATACACAATAAAAAAAATTATTTAATAAATTCTAAACATGAAATTCTAGGTGAAATTGATTAAAACAAGACTAAGATCAACAATGGGGCAAGGTAGATTAGAAAGTCTCTTACTTCTGAGTTGCGAAAGAGATATTCCAATAGATATAAATATTGTTATTGATATATTTTCACAGTCTTCAGATCTCTTAAAAAATGCATTAACTTTTAAATAATACTACATTTGAAGTTTGTCATAAAAAATGTCTGTTATTGTCATTGTTATGACTTGTTAATAAAGTTCTTAATTAATTTGTTTATTTTTTTGTATAGTTTTTATTGTGATAATATTTTTTTTTTTTATAGAGAATAGTATTGTATATTTGTATGTATATATGTAATGTACTTACACAATAGTTTTAATTTCAAACTCATATGCTTATTGACCACTTAAAAATTTGCCAAATATTTACTTTAAACATAATACATAGAATTTAAGAAAGTGTAATATTATTTGTATCATAATACGAGTAAAGTTGAAAACTGAGGGGAGGAGAATTGCCCCCCATATTTGTGAGCCTTGACATTATATTCAAGTCAGAATCGGTGGGGAGGTTTACCCCCCCCCCACACACCGAAAATTTGATCTAGGTACGTCCCTGACTAGGAGGTGGTGGTGGTTGTATATACTAAAATATGAAATTGCGTCATTTAAAATTTAAGATCAGTCCGCCACTGTTCTTTAGTACCAACTAAAAATTAACTATAAATTTAAATTATACTGACCTTCAAACATTTCATCTGTAAATTGTTGACGACGATGTCGTGATTTTTTTGGTGTCGTTATGATTGTTTCATCAACTTGTGTGTATGCACCTAAAAATAAATAAAAGTGTTTAATTTAAATAAATATATTATTATATTATTTATTATATTATTATTTATATTATTCACTAGGTAGTTACAAAAAACCTTGTTATAAATTTTCCAACCTTAGCTATATAGACTGGAAATTTCATAAATCTTTAACTACAAAATAATTTGCGAATGTTCGATATGTTGATGAATTTATATCAAAATCCAAACTTTAAATGTTTATAAAAAAAATTGTGATATTTTTCAACTGCCATTGTTACAGTATATTAGAAGTCTTATATTAAATTTCAAGCTTTTTTACCCAACATATATAATTTTATTGACATCTATAGAAAAAAAA